TGCCACCAGGAGCCCCCTGCCTGCTGGGGACTCCCCCACTGACCCCAGGCTCTGTGCAGCACTGCTGCTTTGAAACGCTGTTGCAGCGTTTCAAAACAGCAGCACTGCACGGAGCCCAGATTTAGTAGGGTAGTCCCCAGCTGACCCTGGGCTTCGGTGCTTTCGCCTTTGAAGTGTAGCAACAGCCTTAAGGCTGTTGCTACGCTTCAAAGGTGGAAGTACCCTATCAACTATTCAATTAGTCAATTACCTGATACTTAACGTCCTTAGAGCAAATCCCACAAAAATTTTGTAGGAATGAGCTCAGAGACCCTCCCAATTTGTATGAGGTATACAGTGCCATTGAGCAGATGAGGAGCAAGGCAGCAGGTCCAGATAGGATCCCCGCTGAAATCTTTAAAGGCGGTGGACCAGAATTAATTTGGCAGCTTAACCTGCTTATCCTTAAAATTTGGATAAAGGAGGAGATACTCAGTGAAATGAGGGATGCCTTGATTGTTACCCTCTTTTAAAAAAGGGGATAAAGTGGACTGTGGAAAATATCATGGTATCTCTCTCCTTGCTGTTGCAGGCAAAGTTCTGGCACAGGTACTTGCAACCCATCCTCTGCCCCATCAGAAGAAACTTTGCCAGAATCAGAGAGTAGCTTCCGACCACATTGCAAAACTGCAGATATACCTTCATTGAGCAAAACAGATGACTGTACCTGGCTTTTGTTGATCTAGCTAAAGCCTCTGATTCAGTGAATCACTGTGCTCTTTGGACTATACTTTCAAAGATGGCATGTCTTTCTAAATACATCAATGTCCTAAAGTTGCTACATGACAACATGAAAGTGGCTGTTCTGAGCAGCACTTGGTCCCAGAGTGAAACTTTTAAACTACAAACAGGAGTCAAACAGGGCTGTATCATCACCCCTGCCATATTTGCAGTCTTTATTGCTGTCATTTTTGACCTAATTGCTAGGAAGTTCTCAGCTGGCATTGAAATCATCTACAGAATGGAAGGAAAGCTGTTTAGGCTTAGCAGGCTGAACGCTAAGAGTAAAATTTCGACCACATCTGTCATGGAACTTCAGTATGCTGATGACAATGCAGTTTTTGGCTACTTTGAGAAAGATCTTCAGGCTATCTTGAATGTGTAGAAAGATCTTCAAGCTATCTTTGTTGATGCTTATGCGTGTCTTGGTCTCTCCTTCAACATCAAGAAAACCAAAGTGCTCCATCAGCCCTCTCCAAATTAGATACTATGCACTATAGCTATTAAAATCAATGGAGAGGCATTGGAGAATGTCAATCATTTTCTTTACATTGGAAGTTATCTTTCATCCAAGGCAGATATTGATGGAGGAATCCAACATTGCCCAAACTGTGCCAAGGCAGCCTTTGCTCATTTACAGCACAAGGTTCTTGACTGGCTTCTAGTCAAGGTCAACAGCCTCCTGCTGTACCTAGAAACATCCATCCTCACTATAATAAAACTTATGGTTCAAGGATCAGCCTTTTCAGCCACCTGACTGTCCATAAGTCCCATGGAAGATAATCACACTTGGCAATGAATGATTGCCCATCATCATCACCACCACCACCACCACACCTAAGCTATTTAATTTATTTAATTTATTTTCCAGGCAATAGCACAGAATGAAGTCTATTTTATTGATGCGCAGAGAGCAAAAGAAATACAACTTTGTTCTACATAAATATAATTATATTTAAAGACAATAGCCATTTTCTGGCTAGAGCTTCTAACAGTAAATATTTTTTTCTATATATTAAACAATTACAGACTTATGAGATGGCATAGTGTCCAAATTTATTCTGAGTTTATTTACCTGCTTATCTTAACACAGAAAATAGGATTTTAAACTCATTAAGGGAGCTTCTAAAATGTTAATTCTGCAAACTCAACTACATTTTTATCTCATTATACACGATCCAGCCAACATTCATAGCCAAGCACTACATTTAGATTAAGAATACATGTCTGTGGCCTAATATAATGCATTTGCAATTTATGTCAAAACGCCACAAGTTTAAAAAAAAATAAAAATAAAAAAAAGAAGACTATTTAGGGAGAAAATCACATTCTCAATTAGGGATGTAATAGTGTAGTTGATTAACTAATAAGTAAAAGCTTATAGGTTAATGCAGTGGTCCCCAATGCGGTGTCTGTGGGCGCCATGGCGCCCACCGGGGTATTTATGTGCGCCCGCCGAAACATCTGGGCTGGCTCTCCGCCCCGGGCACGGCACATGCGTGGTGCCGGCCTCGGGGGCACGCGGCACATGCATGGTGCTGGCCCTGGGCTCAGGGCTCGTGGGCGGCCCCTGCCCCGGGAGCGCAGCACATGCGCGGTGCTAAACCTGGGCTCAGGTCGCGTGGGCGGCCCCTGCTCCGGGCTCACGGTACATGCGCGTGGGCGGCCCCTGCCCTGGGTGCGCAGCACATTGTGTGGTGCCGGCCCTGGGCTCAGGGCGCGTGGGCAGCCCCTACCCCCAGCATGCAGCACACACGCAGTG